CCAAGAACGTCAGCCGCTGCAGGCGTCAAACGCATCAAAAAGCAGTCGTGAAATATTCACGGGGTTGGTGGCATGTCTCCTTTCATCTGGAAAACGTCCTCTAAAGGCGCGGTACGCTATTCTGTCAAGGTATTTATTTTCTATTGATTTTTCCCCTCCCTTCGTGAGTTCTTCACAGGACTGATATACGGATCGACTGCCTCTTCTGCCTTATACTCCCCAAGCTCCTCTGCTCCCTTATCCCTTTCCATCCCTCTCCTATTCCCCTTTTTTCTCTGATCCCCCTCTCCATACCTCTTCCTCTCCCTTTCCCCATCTCTCTTTTCTCTCTTATTCCTACTCCTCCTTCCTCTTTCCTTAACCTCCTACTTTCCTTCTTAAAATCCCATCCTGGTTAATCATTTACAGAACAAATGTGCATAAACTGACGTTCCAACTACTTCCGTGCAATGTACTTACCTCAAACAATGATGATAATGATAATACCTAGCAGGGTACTTCCTTTTCCCACTCGGCCACCTCCTCTCACTCCTAAATCATCCGTGGGAGGCCTTAATGTTTAAGGGAGAGACCCTTAAACATTCAGGCCTCCTACTTCCCTCATCTCCCTCCTCAAACTGCCCCGCCCTCTTTGCTCCCTTATCCCCTTCGCTCACTGTCCCATCCCTTTTTTTCTCTGAGCCCTCTCTTCCCTCTCCTTTCCCTGTTTGCGTCCCACCCTCATTTCCCTCTTCTTCTTAAGCTTTCTCTACCCACTCCCCCCTTTCTCCCTTTCTTCTCCCCTCTTATTCACCTTTCCCCGTTCCTCCCTTCTTAACTGTGTGTATGTGTGTGTGTGCGTGTGTGCATATATATAGATAGATAGATAAATAGATAGATAGATAGAACATAGATATAGATATAACAATAACAATAATGAAAATGATAATAGTAATAATTTAGGTTTTCCTGTTGCAGGCTCTTATGACTTAAGTTAAATTGTGGCTTGTCTTCTAAACTACCCTCTGTGTGCAAAGAATGGCCGGGGTCATCATCTACACACACGCACACACACACACACACACATATATATATACATATATATCGATATATATATATATATATATATATATATATATATATATATATATATATATATATATATATATATATATATATATATATATATATATATATATATATATATATATATATATATATATATATATCTTGCATATGCATATGTATCTATATGTGTATCCATATATGTACACACACGTATATATATATATATATATATATATATATATATATATATATATACATATATATATATATATACTTATACATATAAAGACATATATATATATATATATATATATATATATATATATATATATATATATATATATATATATATACTTATACATATAAAGATATATACATATATATATACATATATATATATATATATATATATATATATATATATATATATATATACTTATACATATAAAGATATATATATATATATATATATATATATATATATATATATATATATATATATATATATATATATATGTACGATCGTCGATTGACACCCGGGCATAAAAAAATACACGGTGAAAATGAAAACATTAGACAACACCATTCAAAAGGAAAACTGAATTAACCTATTCTTTCGTTAGAAGAAATCATTATTTGCTACTTTTCTGACTGCCTGGCCAGAGTGTTTCGTCAATAACATTTTTGACCAATTAGACATATGGTTTTCATTGCAACATGAATGGTTGCATTGAATCTAACCCAGGGGTAATCTAAGGATTCCAGTCAAATCAACAGGCAGTGAAATATATTTTTTTTCTGTTTGCTTTTCGGAGTGTCCTATGTTGTCAACTAATGTCCAGTACATAATCCCTTTCTGTGAAGAATACACTCTTACAAATAGAAACTAACCTCTTGTAGTGGTAAATTCGGCTTGTCATGAAGGTGGGAGTTTCATTCAACATTTACTGTACATAGGCAAATGGTTTAAATAAAAAAAATAAAAATAAAATTCAACAATGAATTCTTTTCCTAATGCGCTGACTCACGATGCCAAAAAGATATCAATTTAACTATTGCAGCAACACTAGTCATATTTACCCTTGTTGTGGACTCGCCTCCAGTTGAAAGCCACGTGTGGCCGAGTAATCTTTCCATCCTAAGGATAAAAGATTTAGAATACCGAATGTCCACAGCGTGCCTTGTCCTGCTGTTCACCTCTGAGCGCTGAGCCAGAAAGCACAACTTGGTGGGGTCACCCTCATGCTGGGAATAACGAATTTGCATGCAGTTTCTCTTATGGAATAATCTACTGGATTTCAAACTTATCATGAAGCTGACAACTTCTTATAAGCACTAAGATACTGACTGCCACAATTTATATCCCTTAACTATTAAAGTGTAGCACATGGCTGTACTGAACAAACTATGAGTTGTATCTAGAAAGATCTTAGTTAAAATGTCACTCACAGTA